GCGAAGCAGCTGCTACTCCTGCACTCAAGCCTCCCACAGGCCTCCTGCTGCCCCAAGCCCCCACTCTTGAGGTCCCACAATGCTGCTCTTGTCCACAGCTCTGCTGCGCTGCCCCCCAGGGAGCAGCTCAGAGCCCAGGGCCTGAACAAGGCCCTGAATCCTAGGGCACAGTGGGCAGACCCACACGGAACGTGGAGAGTCCCAGAATCTGGCGGTCAGGAAAGCTTAGAAAAGCCAAGTCCTAGAGTTAGAAGACCGCAGGTGCTGAGGCTCCAGGCTGCCTGGCCTGCAGGGATGGCCCAGTTCACAAAGTCTCCCTCCCTCATCTCTTCTTTCTTTCATTATAAAGTTCTACTTGCTTCATGGGTCTTATTCTCATCTTGCAGTCAACTGCCCATGGCCCTACTGCTGTACGGACAAATTTTCTCTTGTTCATTTGGGACTGTTTTTATTTTTTATTTTGGGTGGTGGTGGTGGTGTTTTGTTTTAAAACCAGAGCCTGGCCTTGGTTAGTGTTGTCCCGTATACCAAAAGGTTGTGCATTCCATTCCTGGTCAGGGCACATATCTAGGTTGCAGATTCAATACCTGGTCGGGGGTGTAAGGAGATGTTTCTCTCTCTCTCTCTCCCTTCTCTCTCTCCCAAAATGAAAAATAATAATGAAAAATAAAACACCCTACAGCAGGGGTCCTCAAACTACGGCCTGCGGGCCACATGCAAATACAAATATTGTATTTGTTCCCGTTTTGTTTTTTCACTTCAAAATAAGATATGTGCAGTGTGCATAGGAATTTGTTCATAGTTTTTTGTAAACTATAGTCCGGCTCTCCAATGGTCTGAGGGACAGTGAACTGGGCCCCTGTTTAAAAGGTTTGAGGACCCCTGCCCTACAGCCTGATTTGCTTCTAGCAGCATTGAACCACAAACAATGTGTGTTGGTATGAGAACGTGAAAATGACTTTTTTCAAGTGTCCGGTTAACAGAATGACAGAGCAAGATATTAATGATTAATTAGCAACCGATACTGTTTCCTTGTATGCGGCACCTAGAGTAGCCTTAATACTCAGAGACAGAAAGTAGATTGGTGGTTGCCAGGGGCTGGGGGTGGGGGGTGAAGGGGGGGAAATTGGGAGAGAGTGCCAATGGGTACAGAGTTTTGGGGGCAATGGAAATGTTCTAAGTGAAATAGTGGCGACGGTTGCACAGCTCTGTGAATATACTAAAAACCACTTAACCGTATACTTTAGAAGAGTGAATTTTATGCTGTGTGAATTATTTTAAAGAGTTATCTGTTGTTATAAATTCAAACCATAGTGACTTGTAAAAAGTGAGTCAGCCATACCCATCAATCTCAACCCACAGCTAACCACTGCCTGCGTTTGGGCAAGTATCCTTTCTTCCCGATGAATTGAAATGCCAGGTACATGCACCTGTAAATGTTGAGATGCATAAATATATGACCTATAGAGATGTAATATTGTTTTGCAACAGTGGGATCCCATTATACTTGTTATTCTGCAGCTTGCTTTTCCACTTCTCTTAAGAATGTATTTGCATGACATTCTTTTAATGGCTGCGGGTTTTTCTGTTGTCCAGCTGTGCTGAAACTGAATCACCCGGTCCCGTACTGATGAACATTGAGGCTGTTCCCAGTGCTTTGCTGTGAACAATGAACATCTTTGTATATACATCTCAGGGCCCCGAGATAGTATTTCTGGAGGACAGAAATACTAGAGACAGGCCTGCTGCAGGCAAGGGTGGGCAAATCCCTACCTTATCTAGACGTTAACATCAAACCTTGGACAGGTGACATCCTCATGCAGGGTCTTCAAGTCAGTGGCACAGAGAGTAGGTGGTGGGTGGAACACGGCCCGCCAGGCATTGCCTCCCACCCCCAGGAGCACACATGCCCACGTGGACGCACCAAGTCCACCGGCCGCTGAACAGGTGCAGAATCAGGTGGACTCACAGCCCGAGGTTCTCAGGGCAATGAGGAAATTCATTCCCCCCACAGCCCCTCCAGGTCCCCTCCATGGTGGGCCCGCTCCCTACCTTACCTTGAGATCTGTGTGGGGAAAAAATGTAAACCGTAGGTCGCAGGCCGTGGTTATTCATTCACTCATTCATTCCCAGCGCTCATTCTGGGTTAACTTCTCCCACCCCGTGGTTCTGTGTGTTTTCATCCAGCTTCTGCACCTCCCTCCTCACAGCTCTCCTACAAAGCAGGTTGGCAGGGAGCATGGTGCGTGGAAAGCATGGCACCTTGATCCAAACTAGTCAGGGGCCTCCTCTGGATGCCTGTTGATCCTTGGGCTTCCTTTTTCCTTGTCCCCTTATCATGCTGGACAAAAAGCCTCGAGGAGTCTGTCTCGCTCACCTGACTAGCCAGCACTTCCCTGCCAGGATCCTGCCCCGTTACTGGGAGACCTGCAGCTGTTATGAAGGCCACCCTGTTTGTTCCCATGGTCGCCACCACAGCACCTTGCTTTTTTTCTTCTGAGCACCTCCCACCATCATTGATTGGCTGCCTCCTGCATGCCCCACACTGGGATCGAACCCGCAACCTGGGCATGTGCCCCGGCTGGGAATGGAACTGTGATCTGGTTCATAGATTGATGCTCAACCACTGAACCACACCGGCCAGACCTGATTTACTTGTTTACTGCTCTTCTTCCCAACTAGAATGCGAATTCCCTGAGGACAGGAGCCCTGTCTTGTTCACCCCCACCTCCTCTGGGCTCAGATGCTCAGTGCTGGTTGAATCCATGTTTGAATGTAAATGCTGCAGAGGTCTGGAAGGCTAAGGTTCAAGCTGACAACCGTGGCTACTTCTTAGAAGGGGCTGGGATTGAGGGAGACAGTCAAGCAGGAACTTTAGCCTTATTTTACTTTAATAATTTTATAAGAATGTATTCACTTCTAATTGATAGTTTAAAAGTAAAGAAAAGCACAGAAGGAAGGGCCCAAAGCCCTTTGTCCTAATCCTGAAATGATGGCCTCACTTTGGGCCTGTGACATGACTTGTCCAGCTGCCTGTGGCTTCTGACCTCACCTGTAAACATAGTCTCCCCTCCCGCCAGGACCCGGATTTACAGTCTGCACAGCATTTTTCCATCCATTATCTCACCTGATTACCCACAACCCTGGGACACAGGCAAAACAAAGATCATTATCCTGATTCTACGGGGCGGGGGGGGGGGGGGGAGATGGGGGTGTGTAGGGGTGAGTTGTCTGGCCTGTGGTCACACAGCTGTGGTCATGCAGGTTCTTGCTTCCTATCATGATGAGCTGACTCAAATACGAGTTTACAAAACCCACAAAGAAATGGCTAGTGGGAGCCCAGAGGGCTCTGCCATGTAAGCCATAGGGCAATGGGGTCAAGGTCAGACCTGGAGCTGCCTTCAGGGACCTTAAGCTGGTGAGGACAGGGTTTTAATGCGAGTCCTGGTGGACTCTGAAGGCCAAGGTGGGTGCTGGTATCAGGGTCCTGAGGCCAAGCCTCCCATGTAATGAGGGCACCTGGAACCCTCCTTTCTTGGAGTTGCTTGCCCAGAGAGGACAGGGCAGGTAGGAGGTGGCAGCACAGGTGGTGAAGGGCCAGGAGGGCTGGCCAGGCAGCCTGCCCATGGCAGCCCCTTCCTAGGTAGCCCGAGGGTCCACGCTCTGGGCCTAGGTGGCCTTCCAACCTCAGACAGATCCAGGGTGTGAGCCTGGCCCAGGTTGGCAAGTTGGGGTCCCCTGCCCTGGGTCATCATTGTACCCAGGGCTGGGACTCAGTGGACCTTTCAGGAGGGGGATTCCCTAAGTCCACCTCCCTGCTCGATAATTTATTCAAGGCTCAGGTGACAAGCTGGGTATGCAATGCTTTCGATCCATTTTACCACATTTACCAGGTACCAGGTATCAATAGCTAGCATTTATGCGTGATGACTAAAGGGTCAGGCTCATCTTAATCCTCTCTGCCACCTTGTAAAGAAATTATCCCCCCCCCCAAAAAAGAAATTATCCCCATTTTTAAGATATAGAAATTGAGGGGTTCAGGACGGCTCAAGATCACATGGCTGGGTGAGTGGGAAAAGCCAGGATTTGAGGCTGGATCAATATGACTCCCAAATCCCTGTTCTTTCCACGCCCCCCGCCCCCCCCAGGGCTGAGGGGTGACAGAGATGACTAAGACCCTTGGGTGGGGTGGTGTAGCCACAGACCTATCCTCGCTAAGCAGTGCGCTGGTCAGAGTGACATCACGGCCATGGCCGGGCAGCCAGCCAGTGGAAGGCTGATTCATCTCGTGGAGGAGAGGCCTTGGGGAGGGGTCGCTTCCCAGGTCTTGGAGGGGGGGCAGGAGAATGGTTCCAGGCCAGGCACCTAATGCCCTGCCAGACAAGGGCCTGCTTCCCCTCGGAGCCCAGCCCACCACCGCCCTCCTCAGGGCAGGAGAGGGGGCCCGGTGGGGAGGGGGCGACCCGGAGCCTACACCAGGGTCAGAATTGTTCAGGGCAGGTGGCCAGGCTCCGTCCAGCCCCGGGAGGACACCTGGACTGGTGTGGCGGGAGCATGGAGCCTCCTGCAGGGTGTTTCGGGGGGTGAGACAGGGTGGAGGCGGCCATCTGGGGGGCTCTGGAGGCTACAGGGAACTGCTCCCGGGGAGAAGCCTCAGACCAGGTAGCTCAGTGGGTTTAGACGTCAGCGAGGGGGATTGTAGGTGCTGAGGCCCAGGAGTGGGAGGGACTCGGATGGAGGAAGAGGAGCGCTCCCGGTGGGCTGCGCGGTGGAGGGGGTGCGCTGGGGGGAAGGGCTCGTCTGCGGTGGGCGAGGCGTGCAGGGCGGCCCGAGTGGGAGGGGTGTCTGTCGGGATCGCTGCGGGGAGGGGCGGTGGGTGTCTGCTGGGGGTGGGGGTGGGGGTCCGCGTTTGGGGGCGGAGCCGGCGCTGGGTGGGGCGCCAGGCCACCGCCCCCTCGCCGCTCCGGGCGGCGGGCGGGGACCCAGGCCGGCCCACCGCGCGGGGAGCGGCGGCGAGTAGGCGGCGGCCGGCCGGGCTGGTCCGGGCAGGTCCGGGCGGGGAGCCGGAGCCGAGCCGGGACCGCGCCGGAGCCGAGCGAGGACAGCAGGCCCGGCCCCGCCTCCTCCCCCGCCCCGCGCCCGCCGGTCGCGCCGGAGTTCGGAGCCGCGCCGGGCAGGGCCGCGCCGCCGCCGGTCCTCGGTCCTCGGTCCTCGGTCCTCGGTCCGCGGCGAAGCCAGATCGCGGCTCCCGGGGCCGGGCCGAGCCGGCGCGGCGCATGGCGGGGCCGCGGGGCGCGCTGCTGGCCTGGTGCCGCCGCCAGTGCGAGGGCTACCGCGGCGTGGACGTCCGCGACCTGAGCGGCTCCTTCCGGGACGGCCTGGCCTTCTGCGCCATCCTGCACCGGCACCGGCCCGACCTGCTGTGAGTGCGCGGGGACCCCCCTCTGTGACGCGGCCGCGGGGGGCAGGGGCAGGCGCCGCCCACAGAGACCCAGACCCCGACCCCACCGACGGGCCGCGACGCCCGTGGGGTCCCCGAGACCCCTGCCCGGCCCCCCGGGGCCTCGGACCCCGCCCCTGGGCACCCCCACCGGCGCTCGGTTGCCTCCGCGGCGGGCGTTGGGGGTGGGGAGGGTGGCCCCGCCCACCAGGCACTGATTTCCGCCTCAGCGACTCCCCCACCCCCAGGTCTCAACTCTTTAAAGGGGGCACCGAGCCCTCTTTGGGGACCCTGCCTTTCCTGCACTGGCACCCCTCCCTGTGCGGCATGGAGGCCTTTTCCCTCTTGGGGGGACTCCCTAGCTCTGAGTGCAGTGAACCTCACTTCTCTGACTCCCCCCCGGCATGGAGGGAGGAGACCCTAGGGCACAGGGCTGGGTGAATGGAGAAAGGCCCCCCCCCCCAGGACACAGACCTGCCTCCGAGCGTGCGTGCGCCCCAAGGTCCTGCTGACCTCAGGGGGGGGGGGACGACGACACGTGGAGACGCAGAGTCTGACTGGCAGCCACCGGGGTATGAAATGTCTCCTTCCTCCTTGTCCCCAGCTGCCCCGCGAGGTTCTCATGGGAACATGTATTCAGGTCCCCCCTCCCCGAGCAGTGGACTTGGGGCTTCTGTCTCAGCTCCCTCTTCCTTGGGCCTGTAAACTCTTCCATTCATTCATTCGTTCGTTCGTTCGTTCGTTCATTCATTTATTCATTTATAAAACACTGAGTAAAGTTGATCTGGTGCCTGCCATTTCTGGTGCTGACAGCGCCCCCCACCAAGGGTGCTGAGCCTGGCAGGGTCCAGAGTCTCTGTGTCCGCTTCACCCCCAGACCTGTGTCCCCGAGGACAGCACCTGAGAGGGCTTTGAGGGAGGAGGGGAGGGAGGAAGGGTGCCTCAAGGATCCCTGGGCTGGCGCATGCACTTAGTTTACTCTGTTCCACGCGGTACAGTGTCTGTGGGTGGTGGGTCGGGCCTGGAGGAGACGGCTCTGGGGGTGTGGATGCAGAAGTGAACAAGGTGAGGTGGAGACAGACGTAGGTGGGCCCTGCCGGCTGGGGGGCGCGTGACAACTGCACGAATAGAGGTTGGGTGCTCAGGAGAGGGGGCTTGAAGGACGGAGAAGGGCACCCAGAAGGGAGGGGAGGGCTGGGAGGGGTCTCCTGTTTTGGCTGGGGGGCAGCTGGGGAGGCAGGAGGCAGGGGCCAGGGCCAGGTGTGAAGGGACTTGGGTATCACACGGGGCAGGCTGCTCGGTCTGTGCTCAGTGCCATGTCCCAGGTGTCCCTTGGGTAAGTCACAACCCCTCCGCCCGCCCTCAGGCATCAGCTCCCTCATCTGTAAAGTGGGGTTGATAATAAGACTGACCTCACAGGGTGGTTGTGAGGATTAAATGAGGAAATGAGCATTCAATGAACAGTAATTATAAGTAGTGTTATTAGGCGGTTCGGGGATGATGATGAAAGTGTCTTGTTCTTCATTTATTCAACAAGTAGTGACAGAGTTACTACTCCGTGCTGGGCACTGTGCCTGGTAGTGGAGATAGCAACCAACTAACAAAGAGACAAACCCCGCACAGTCTCCCACGTCTCCGGGAGTAACAGATGCGGACGCAGGGGTGATCATTCCCCGTGGGAAGTGCTCTCTCAGGGATGGGAAGGCCTCCCAGATGTCACATCGTTTCCAAGGAGACAGCAGGGGCCAGGTCAGGGCGTTCTGGGCAGAGGGGACACCCCCCCCCCCCGCCCCCGCCAGCAGAGGAGGCACAGGCAGCGCTGCCAGGGCCCATGGCGCATGGTGGGCGGGCCCGGGGAGTGGCTGGGCCGGAGTGCTTAGGGCCTCTGGCTGCCTAAGGAGGGTGCACAGGGCCATGGGAGCCATGGTGGTTTTCAGCAGGGGAGGGATGTGGCTGGAGTTGGTGTGGAATGGAGAGCGGCTCCCTCCTGAGAAGAGATCTAGGATCTCACCCAGGCGTTCACTTGCAAGGCAGGCCAGTGTTGGGGCTGCCAGCCCATTGCACAGGACAAAAACTGAGGCCCAGTCCCACCTAAGGCACAGAGAGGACCTCAGCGGTGCGGAGGGGAGGATCTCCGTGAGAGTAGGGCCTGGCAAGCAGCATCTGAAGTAGCTCCTGGCGCCGTGGGTCCTGCCTCTGAGGGGGGCGGGCTCTGCTGCCATGTTCATTCTCTCTTCCTCCAATCCAGGCACCTTTAAGCTCCCTTGAGGGCAGACACCATGTGGGTTTCATTTCTGTGCCCTTCATCTCTCCCAGAGCCAAATACAACTTCCCCGGCCTTTGAAAGTCGCAGAAAATCTGTTACCCAAGCGCAGATGGTGATTAGACAGAGATGGGGGTAGGGGGAGGCTGGAGGAAGAACTGTAGTGTCTTGCGGGCCTTTACAGTTTTTACGCTGCTTCCAGGATATCTTCATTCAACAAACATTTATTGAGTGCCTACTAAGTACCGGGACCTATGTACCAGGTGGAGTGTTGGCGACACAGGGTGAATAAAAGCCCACCTTCCTAAGAACACTGCTGGGGAGACTGGAAGAAGTGGCCGAGACAAGGTGCTTTGCCTCATTGGGTCCAGGAACAAGCCTTTGTCTTGGGGGCTTCTGCTGGTGCCCCCTCATTCCCTTCACAGCATCACAGACCAGGAGGCTGAGGGTTCGGAGGTCACATTGCTTGCTAAAGGTCATGCTCTTAGGTCAAAGCTAGGGGAGTTAGGGACCCAGCTGAGGGGAGAAGGAAGTAGCCTGGCCAGGGGGTGACAAAGGGGGCTGAAGCTCATATACAGCCACCTCCCCTCTGTCTAGTCCATCCAACCTTGGGGCACCTCCCTTCCGGGGTTCTCAGCTTACTGTACCTGGATTCTGCCTGGAGAGGCTAGGGGTCGGAGGGCTGGGGGAGGGGCGTGCTTGCCCTCTCCCTTGTCTGTGAGGCCTTCCCTTCACCCAGCGCAGCCTCCGCCAGTCCTCTCCGCCAGTCTGGAGGAGCAGAGCCCCGGGGAGGACGTGCTGCCTGCTCCAGCCTCTGACCCCTGCATCAGGCAGTCAGGCTGCAGTTTTCAGCCATAGAAGGGCAGCGACTTGGGCGGTGCACCCAGGAGGGTGCCAGCAAGAAGGCTGGGCTGCCTCCACCGGTTTCAGCCACTCTAGCAGCCGGGAGGGGGCGAGGGGGATAGATAAAGCCGGCAGGCTGGCCAGCTGTCCCCTCCAGGGTCCCCCAGGCCAGCTCTGCTGCCTCTCACCTGTCTCAGCTTAGAAACTGGGAAAGCCTTCGCCACTCCCCCAGGAGGCGGCCCCGGAGTGGCCCAGCACGCAGCCAGCCGGTCAGTGCCTGCCAGCCGCTCTGGAGGCTGTTCTGTTTCCAGTCCAGTTCAGGCTTGTTCTGGTCCTGGCCCCATGATGAAGCCGCCATCCTCGGGCTGGGCTGGGATTCAGCATGTTGGTGTAGCTTCTCCAGGTTTGAGACGTGCAGTACAAGGACCAGGAATGTGGATTTCCGGGGCTGGCTGGTTTCCCCTCTGCGGGCCTCAGTGGTCTCATCTGAAACGGGGTAAACGCCAGCCAGGCAGAGTTGAAAACAATGTAAATTCAAGACAGGAGCTCCGCACAGCACTGGCGCGAGGTCCTCGATCCACGGATGTCCCTGTTTTTACAAGTATTTGTCCTGGGCTGACCAGGATGTGGCTTCCTGGGGAAGGGCATCCTGATTCGCAGTGAGGTCAGGGATCTTCAACCTGGAAGCTTGCACTTGAGCCCTACCCCTTCGAGTGATTTGCGTCCTCCGCTTGGGTGCCAGGAGCTCAGCCTGTGCCCCCACCGGAAGGCCCAGTCCTACCGGCATGTGCTGTTGCCTCAGTTTCCTCCTGGCCAGTCCACAGACCCCGCCCCTTGGGATGAGGTCACCCCGCCTGCCCCTCCCTTTGTCCAGTCACCTCGTCAGTGCTCCTCTTCCCCTTTGCCTCTTGCAGAGATTTTGATTCACTTTCCAAGGACAATGTCTTCGAGAATAACCGTTTGGTGAGTCCTCAGACAGATGAAAGCACAAGAGGCTGTGGGGCTGGGCTGGGGTGGGGCTGGGGTGGGGCTGGGGTGAGGCTGGGGTGGGGTGGGGCTGGGCTGGGGTGGGGCTGGGGTGGGGCTGGGCTGGGGTGGGCTGGGGTGGGGGTGGGTAAGGGTCTTAGGGCAGGAGCTGTGGGAGGGGCTGCCTTGCACTGGGGCCCTGGCTGCTCCTTTCCCCACCCCTGCTTCCCTCTGGCCCGCTTGTCCCTGGAGCACCAGGCCATCATGTGGGTTCAGAGCTGAGGGGAGCCCATGCCCACCCTGCCCTGGTCCCACTGACGGGCGCCCACTAACCCTGCCTCCTCCCCCACCCCTGCACCTGTTCCCACCCAGGCCTTTGAAGTGGCCGAGAAGGAGCTGGGCATCCCTGCTCTACTGGACCCCAATGACATGGTCTCCATGAGGGTCCCCGACTGCCTCAGCATCATGACCTACGTGTCCCAGTATTACAACCACTTCGCCAGCCATGGCCAAGGTGAGAGGGGGCAGCCCTCGGAGACTGGCCCTGGGGCTGGGGCTGGGGCTGCGGACGGGTGGTAGTTTTCTGCACTGCAAACAGGCAGCTGGGGAGGCAGCCCATCATCCATTCACTGGATCGTTCGTTCACTCATTGAAATGCCCTTTTCTGGGTGAAACAGCATGTGCTGGGGTATAGCTGTGACCAGGTCTCTGTCCCCCGGAGTGCCCAGTCTGGTGGCGGGGACAGATAACAAACACAGCAACCCATAACTGAGCAAAATAATATGAGAGGAGACAAAGTGGGTGGGGGGGTGGGGGGTTGGGGGGGGCTTCCCGCTGTCTGAGTTCACCTCTCTGCACCCACCCCACTTCCTGTTAGCAGACACTTCCCTGGGGTTTTTCCTGCAGCAGGGAAGTGACCCTGTGGGCTATTGTGCAGCATCTTCCCCAGAAGTGACCTTCAGGGCCTGAGAACTGGGAGGCTGGGGAGTTGGGGGTTCCCCGGGGTACAGGGTACTTCTCTGCTCTGAGTCAGGTCACTGCGCCGGCGACAGAGCCTCCTGCCTGGAAAATCCCCATGCAGGAATCTCCTGTGGCAACTGGCCCAGAGAGGGGAAGCAAGGAGCCCAAGGTCACACAGCAGGAAAGCAGAGAGGCTGGGTGGAGAATACAGGTGTCCGGACTCCTGCTCTGGGTCACTTCTGGGTCCTGAGTCTGGGAGGGGGTGGCGCCTTGCCCATCCCCTGCCCGCTTTCAGCCCTGCCTCCTGTCTGCTGTCCATGTGGACAATCCCAGCCCATCGTTAAGGAAGTGTCTGTAAAGTCAGGTCTTTTTTTTTCCTTTTTAAAAGTAAAGCATGTTTATTGTAGACAAGTCAGGACACAGAAAAGGACATCAAAATTAAAATAATATCTCCCCTTCCCGAGATATTGCTAGGGATTAATATTATACTTGAACAAATAGCATGGTGTGTATTTTAGTAGAAATCAAATTAAATAGATTTCTTCACCACGGAGTCGTCGGTGAGAGGCAAATAGGGTGGAAATTAAGAGCGTGGACTCCAAACGTTTTAGCTGCCATTTGCTCTCTGGGCGACAGTGGGCCCCCACGGGCACCTCTCTGCCTCAGTTTCCCCTGGCGATGGAGGTAAGAATAGCGCCCACCTCGCAGGGTTGGTGTGAGGAGTAAGCGAGGAAACGTAAACGCGCGTGCGGCTCTTATTTAGACTCAAGGTCAGCGTCATTATGACGTCTCTGTTCCGTTGGTTAGAATTTAGCTTACTTACCTAGAATCACAACTTGGTCCTGTGTTCTGGAGGGTTTCCTGTCGAAACCCCCAGGCTCGCTCTTCTGAGCTCTTCTTCTGGGGAGCTGTGGGGTGGGTGGGGTGGTGGGGGGCCGTCGATCCTGCTGTTGATTTGGTCCTGGGCCCTCACCGGGCATCCGGGGGTGAGGGCGCCCCGCGGGCCCAGCTCCCCGAGCTGTGCCTGGGCCTGCGGGGATGCTTGTTGCTAAAAGCACAGCTTGTACTTTTCCTATAACTTGGCCCCTAAATGCAAACCATTTTTATCCCACCTGCTGCTCAACCAGAGGAAACCCAGCGATGTGTGCCAACCCTGGAGGCAAAGCTGGCTGTCAGACTCCCCCAGATGGGCCCGTTCTGTACTTTCTGGGCGAACGGGGGCGATTTCAACGCTGCTTTTGACTGGACTGGACTCTCACCGGGCTGGGCAACCTTGAACCCGGCCCTGGCTGAGACACTGAAGTGCCGTGCTGAGTGCTCAGCTTGTGCCAGGCTCTGTGGGTGCCAGTGACCCTGGGCACATCAGCTGCCCCCTGACCTCCAGGAGCCACAGCCTGGTCTGGAGCCAGCATATGAGTCCAGGACGCCCAGCGTCTGGGAAGTCGGAGGAGGGGTTCCAGCCCACAGGGTGGCAAGGGCAGGTCATCAGGAGAAAGTCCAGCTTCTTAGTGGGCCCTGAGGTCCTCCCCACGCTTAGCCTGAGCCACTCGCTGCCCCAGCCTCTTGTGCTTCTTGAACACCTCACGTTCTTTTTGTTTTTTAATGTTTTTATTGACTCATGAGAGAGAGAGAAGGGGAGAGGGATAGAGAGAGAAACACCGTCGATCGGCTGCCTCCTGCACACCGAGCCGAAACTGGGGCATGTGTCCTGACCGGGAATGGAACCGGTGACCTCCTGGTTCATGGGTCAGCGCCCAGCCCTGAGCCACACCAGCCTGCACACATCACGCCTTGTGCTGCTAAGTCTTTCTTCGTGGTGATCCTCCCGCCCCAAACTCCATTGTCTGTTCCATTTCTTCCACCCCAGCACGCGCTTTCCGACGGATCCTCTAATCTTCGCATTCTGCCTCTGAGCAGCCTGCGCGGCTCTACCTACTCCAGGTGCTCGCGTCTCCCCGCCCCCTGTTCAGCACAAGACTGTGGCCACAATATCGCGACGACTCCTCTCTGTCCCCTGCAGACCGTCTCTGTTCACAGCCGTAGAGCTCCAGCACTTTCCGTGTAACATATCTATGGAGTGCCCGCTGTGTGCCAGGCACTGTGCTAGGGAGAGAGCTGAGAATGAAACAGACTCACAGAGCTTGCAGTCTAATGGATGAGGGGCGGGTGAGAGGGGAGAGAGAGAGAGGTAATAAGTGACATAATGTTAGGAGAGTCCAATAAGAAAACAAAGTAAGGTAATGGGATGAAAGCGATGGGAATAGGAAGTGGTCAGGGAGGCCCTCTCGGACGAGGTGACATTTGAGTAAGCCTTGAACAAGGAGGAGAAGGAGGCCATGTGAAGCTCTGGGGAGGAATGTTCCAGGCAGGAGGGCACAGGCTTCCAAAATTTTTTACCACGATTCATGGTAAGAAATACAGTTCCCTAGCCGAAACCGGTTTGGCTCAGTGGATAGAGCATCGGCCTGCGGACTGAAAGGTCCCAGGTTCGATTCCGGTCAAGGGCATGTACCTGGGTTGCGGGCACATCCCCAGTAGGAGGTGTGCAGGAGGCAGCTGATCGATGTTTCTCTCTCATCGATGTTTCTAACTCTCTATCTCTCTCCCTTCCTCTCTGTAAAAAATCAATAAAATATATTTAAAAAAAAAAAAAAAAAAAAAGAAATACAGTTCCCATCACAGCCTGAGTTCATGCACACATATGTAACTGAAACAAGTTTCAGGAAACGATTCTTCCCCCTACACATGTGATGCACAGAGATACTTTCTATTCTGTTTCATCTTCTTTGTTGTTGTTGTTAATCTTCACCAGAGGATATTTTTCCATTGATTTTTAGGGAGAGTGGGAGAGAGAGGGAAAGACAGAGAGAAACATCGATGTGAGAGGAACACACACCCTTTGGTTGCCTCCTGCACTAGCCTGCGACCGAGGTACGTGCCCTTGACTGGAATTGAACCCGGGACCCTTCGGTCCACAGGCCAATGCTTGATCCACTGAGCCAAACTGGTTAGGGTTTTTTTATATATACTTTTATTGATTTCAGAGAGGAAGAGAGGGGGAGAGAGATACAGAAACATCAATGATGAGAGAGAATCATCCATCGGCTGCCTCCCACATGCCCCACACTGGGGATCAAGCCCGAAATCCAGGGAATCGAACCCTGACCTCTGGTTCATAGGTCGACACTCATTGAGCCACACCAGCCAGGCTGTTTCGTCTTTGAAATGTGCTCGTTGCAGTCCACAGAATTGATTTCAGGGTCCATTAATGGACGGTGACCTGAAGTTTGGTCATCTTAGACCACAGTAAGGAGCTTGGGTCTTATTTTTTAAATTGTCATACAGTAAAATGGACTTTTTAATACAGTTCTCTGAATTGGGGGTGTTTATGTCAATCCCTGGGTACAAAGTGGGTGCTTAGTGAATATTTGCTGCAGGAATGAAGGAGGAGGATGTTGGAGGAGGCTGGGTGGGGTGGGTGGGTTTCTCTGGTGTGAGGGACAGCAGGCAGGTTCTGGGGTGCGGCTGCCCGCCGGGGCGTCGGTAGGGCAGCTCCTTGCTGGCCCCAGGGAGCCAGCCCTGTTCCCGATCGGCCAGCACAGTGCGGTTCCCTTCTTTCCCCAGTGCCCCGGGGAGCGGGAGGGAGCTCTCCGTCCTCCCATGGGCTGGGCACTGTTAGTTCTGTGATTGTGCGGCTGCCTCTGTGCACACGGCCCCCGGGCGAGCAGCTTGCATTCAGGACTTAGCTTGGATGTGGAGGTGTCCGTGTCCGCTGGTCGGTGTGAAGGGGGAGCCTGCTCTGGTCCCGCTGCACTGGGACCGAAGGTGATGTCTGCGGAGCTCAAACCTTCGGCCAGGTTGCGGCCGCCTGGAAGCCCAGCGTCGCCACCTGCCTCAGGTCTGTTTCCGTCCCTTTGCAGCCGGTGTCTCACCACCCGGAAAGGGCCTGTCACCCTCCTCCCCGCCATCCACTCCAGTGGAACCAGAAGAGAGGGCTCAGGTAGGCAGATGTCTGGGTGGGCGGGTGGGCGGGTGAGAGGGTCGGTGGGCAGGGACAGCGGGCATTGCAGGTTCAGAGGACACTTGGACCTTTCCCACTGGCTTTGGGAGTGGAGCCTCACAGGCCAGGCCTGGGAGGGGGCACAGGGCAGCCCACAGCACTGACCGCCACGTTGGGCCTGACGGGGATTTAATACACTCGCTGGCACTGGCGAGACAGCTTTTCAGCGCCCTGATGGTTCTGTTTAACCCTCTAACAACCCTGGAGGTGGCTGTAATGTGTCCTGATATACAGATGAGAAAACCGAGGCTCAGACAGGCTTGCTCAAGGTCACAGAGCTTAGAAGGACAGAAACTGGGAGTTAAGTCTGCTGGGGCTCTCGGAGGGAGGCAGGGAGGGAGGCAGGGAAGACAGGCCAGGGCAGTCACCCCAGGGCCAGCCTGCAGGGTAAGAGCCGCCGAGGGGAGGGGTCAGACAGCAGGAGCCGCCGTTCTGGTGGGGGAGCCCAGGCTCTGGACGTCGGGACGAGCATGTCTCCATCCTGACCCAGGGACCTTTCGCCCTCTCTGGGCTGCAGTTTCCTTGCACCCTGTCCCCCTCCAGGGCTCTGCCGAAGCTCGTTAGCACTCAGCAGGTGTCCGCAGTGCACGTGGGGGGCAGCGGCCATTAGAGGGACTAGGATGGCTGGTGACCGTGCCCCGACCCCCAATCTGCCCGCCCTGTTCCCCGCAGGGCGAGGAGCTCGCCTCAGGTCACCTGTCGGAGCAGAGCGCCCACCGGCCCCCCAGCAGCGTGTGCGCAGCCTGCGGGCAGCACGTGCACCTGGTGCAGCGGTACCTGGCCGAGGGCAAGCTGTACCACCGGCACTGCTTCCGGTGAGTGGCGGGGGCCTGGCCGGGCCTCGACCCCAGCACCCCAGTAGCAGGGAGGGAACTTCCGTGGTTCAGCACCACCGTGGGGGGCACCTTGGTGGGCTCTCCTTACGGAGCATCCTGCTTGTCTCCATTTCCTGGGGAGCAACTAAGGCCTCCGAGGGGAGACCTGCTCATCGCGTCATTAGAGGCCGGAGCGGGCTCTGCCCCGGGCGGCGCTCTCGGAGGTGAACCGCCCATGATGTTTTAGGACAGTGGTCGGCAAACCGCGGCTCGCGAGCCACATGCGGCTCTTTAGCCCCTTGAGTGTGGCTCTTCCACAAAATACCATGTGCGGGCGCGCACGTACGGTGCGATTGAAACTTCGTGGCCCATGCGCAGAAGTTGGTTTTTGGAAAGGAGATGGACTAAACAAGTGTGCAAGACGAGTGTGGATGGGAGAGTTGGAAGGGGTCGACCTCAGCGAACGCACCTCAATCAGATTGAGGACGTTTTTAGCAAAGGCCAGCTTAGGAGTACCCTAATGAAGTTAATAACAATGTACCTATCTAGATAGTTTAAGTTTAAAAAATTTGGCTCTCAAAAGAAATTTCAATTGTTGTACTGTTGGTATTTGGCTCTGTTGACTAATGAGTTTGCCGACCACTGTTTTAGGAGCATAATCTGCTTTAAGACCACTGGGGAGAAAGGGTTTTAAAATATCACAATAAAAACTTGCTTTCTGTGTACCGCTCCCAGTGGAAGCCAGGTTTAAAGAGAATGGAATAAGAGGCAAGGAAAATACAAATAATTTAGAAAATATATGATACAAGAGAGAAATCAGAAAAGGAAATTGAAGAGTCAAGGGAGCTGGTGATTGACAGTTGCCGAATGCTCTGTGTGTGTGTGCGTGAGATGGGTGTGCGGTGTGTGTGGTGTGTGTGTGTCTGTGTGGTGTGGTATGTGCACGCGCATGTGTGTGTGTGGTGTGTGTGTATGGTGTGTGTGTGTGGTGTGTGTGTGTGCACGCGCATGTGTGTGTGTGGTGTGTGTGTATGGGGTGTGTGTGTGTGTATGGTGTGTGTGTGTGGTGTGTGTCTGTGTGTCTGTGGTGTGTATGTGTGTGTGGTGTGTGTGTGTGCACGCACATGTGTGTGTGTGGTGTGTGTGTATGGGGTGTGTGTGTGTATTGTGTGTGTGTGTGGTGTGTGTGTGTGTGTGGTGTGTGTCTGTGTGGTGTGTATGTGTGTGTGGTGTGTGTGTGTGTGGAGTGTGTGTGTGGAGTGTGTGTGTATGGTGTGTGTGGCGGCTGCACCTGGAACCTGGGACCTGACAGCAGGACTGAGGGTCATGGGGGGAACACTCGGGGAGCCATCACACCCATGTCAGGGCAGTGTTTATAAACTGTTTACAGCGCCCCTTCCTCCCCCCACCCCCCTCAGTAAGAAGTCCACTTGACATTGTGACCAGGTGTGAACACATACCTGAAGTAAAGCTTGTATAAGTAGAGGCACAACTGGAATAAGAGTCAAGTGCGACCCGCTCTGACATGTATTTGGTGCCGTTTTCTTTTCTTTTCTTTTTTTTAAAATATTTTATTGATTTTTTACAGAGAGGAAGGGAGAGGGATAGAGAGTTAGAAACATCGATGAGAGAGAAACACCGATCAGCTGCCTCCTGCACATCCCCCACTGGGGAAGTGCCCGCAACCCAGGTACATGCCCTTGACCGGAATCGAACCTGGGACCTTTCAGTCCACAGGCCGACGCTCTATCCACTGAGCCAAACCGGTTTCGGCCCGTTTTCTTCTATCCATAAAACAACAAAACAGCCCTGACCGGTTTGGCTCAGTGGATAGAGCGTCGGCCTGCGGACTGAAGGGTCCCAAGTTCGATTCCGGTCAAGGGCATGTGCCTGGGTTGCGGGCACATCCCCAGTAGGGGGTGTGCGGGAGGCAGCTGATCGATGTTTCTCTCTCATCGATGTTTCTAACTCTCTATCTCTCTCCCTTCCTCTCTGTAAAAAATCAATAAAATATATTTGAAAAAACACAAAACAAAAAAAACCCACACACAACAAAACAAACAGCCTGCTGGCTGAGAACAACGGAGTCCGTCCTGAGCCCTAATGGCGGACGTGCTCACTGGACGGTCCCTCTGGGGGAAACGTTGCTTCCTCTTGCAGCACAAACTGAATGTGTTTCACAATTCCTGTTGCTGATTTCACGTGGTTTTATTCTGCTGCGATCCTGACAGTTACCATTTTCCTTTTCCTCTGGGAAGTCCAGGGCATTGAGACAGGATCCGTCTGGCATTTGGGAGGAGGCGGAGGGAAGGGCCTTGGTGCTGGAGGAGGGCGGCCGCTCGCTGGACCGGGCTGCCTGGTCCAGTTTAACACCCATCCCCTTCTCCCTGCAGGTGTCGGCAGTGCTCCAGCACCCTGATCCCGGGTGCCTACCGGGCTGGGCCTGAGGAGGGCACCTTCGTGTGTGCGGAGCACTGTCCCAGGCTGGGCCCGGGTGGGCGGGGGGCCAAGCCCCGGTCCCCACCACAGCCAAAGCGACAGCCAGAAGAAGGAAAGGAAGCCGCAGAAGAAGCCAAGGATGTGGAGGGAGGCGGCCCCAGCCCTAGGGCGGCTGCAGGGGCCGAGGTCCGGCCCCAGATCCCCACCAAGCCCTGCCTTCTGGACAAACCACAGGATCTGGCCAGCCCCCAGGCCGGCCGCCCCATGCCCACCCCCAGGAAGACCTTGGAGAGCACAGCCCCGGCGCCCTCCGTGCCCCCGACGCCCGCTGTGCCCCCGACGCCCCGGCCCCGGTCCAGCCTGCAGCCTGAGAACTCCGTGGAGCAGGGAGGCGGCAGCCTGGTGAACGGTGAGCAGCGGGACGGTGCTCGCTGGGAGTGTGTGGTGTTTCAGTGGACACGTGCCCTGGGCGTGTTGCTGGGGCCTGTGTCTGTGTGTGTGTGACTGTGTGTGTCTGTGTGTGTGTGTCTGTGTGTGTCTGTGTGTGTCACTGTGTGTGTGTCTGTGTGTGTGTGTCTGTGTGTGTGTGACTTTGTGTGTGTGTCTGTGTGTGTCTATGTGTCACTGTGTCTGTGTCTGTGTGTGTGTCTGTGTGTCTGTGTGTGTGTGTGTGACTCTGTGTGTGTGTGTGTGTGTCTGTGTGTGTCACTGTGTGTGTGTGTGTGTGTGTGTGTGTGTGACTGTGTGTGTGTGTGTGTGTGTTTGGGGGTGACTGTGTGTGTGTCTGTGTGTGTGACTGTGTGTGTGTCTGTGTGTGTGGGGGTGACTGTGTCTGTGTGTGTGTCTGTGTGTGTCTGTGTGTGTCTCTGTGTGTGTCTGTGTGTGTGGGGGTGACTGTGTCTGTGTGTATGTCTGTGTGTGTGTGTGTGTCTCTGTGTGTGTGTGTGTGACTGTGTGTGTGTCTGTGTGTCTGTGTGTGTGTGTGTGTGTGACTGTGTGTGTGTGTGTGACTGTGTGTGTGTCTGTGTGTGTCTGTGTGTGTCTGTGTGTGTGTGTCTGTGTGTGTGGGTGACTGTGTGTGTGTATATGTGTGTGTCTGTGTGTGTGTGTCTGTGTGTGTGTGTGTGGGTGTGGGTGACTGGTTTCCAAGGTCATTCATGCCACAAACAGTGACTGAGGCCGCGGGCACAGCTCGAACAAAGCAGATGCATACAGATGGTGCCTCAGGCTGCCCATGCTGTGTGTGTTGGGGTGTTTGTGTTCTTCTGTGAGTCTCGTGTGCTTCAGTTTCGGGGTGTCGAGCAAGTGCGCACGGTGTGTGCCTGTGTCCCGACTGCATCCGGGACTCTGTGTGCCCGGCCAGTTTACATACTCCCTCGGGTGATCTCCCTCTCACGCCCAGCCCATGTCCTGTCCGATGTCTGACCGGGGAGTGCTCAGGGGCGGGGACAGGCCCGGGTGTGTCCCTGGTCAGGTGGTCCCCCGGGGGGCTCTGTTCAAGGCCCTGATGGCAGGACTTTCCCAGATGACCTGCCTGGCGCTGTGAGCTCACGCAGGCAGGGCTCCTGGGCGCCTCTGATGTGCTGGGCAACCCTCTCACCTGCTCAGGGAAGGCGGTCAGGCGAGGAGGGCCCGTGGGTCTGGGGCAGAGGCTCCCTCTGGCTGTTCGGTTCTGTTCTGAGCTGGGCACGGGGACAGAGATGGTGTTCACCTGTGTGTGCCTTTGTGGTGTAGCCAGTCTCCGGGGGGACCGGGCACAGGCGGGTTCAGTAGAGCCTGAAGTCTGTTAGGAGGGGCAGCGGGGCTGCGTGGGTTCAGGAGGCGTCCAGGAGGAGGTGGTGCTGGGTGCGTGGCGACGTTTCCCGTGCACACAGGGGCAGTGTCTGAGGGCACTGGGTGCCCCTTCCCAACTGAAATGCAAAGGGGTTTCAGCTGCCCTGTCCTTTCCCTTCGACCTACTCTGCCCGTCCCTTCTGGGGCTTATCTAATCTCCCTGAGCCCTGGGGTGGGAGGTGCGAGTGTGGGGTGAGGTTGCCATGGCCACCTGGAGCCCGTGACCTGCCAGGTAGGAAGGAAGGGCACTCCGTGGTGAGGCGGTCACTCTGGCTGGCGACCCGGCTGCCCCACTGCGCTGCCCAGTCCACAGCGGCCATGAAGGCCTGTCTCACCCTCCTTTCCCATCTAGGAAGGCTGCACGAGCCCCCCGTCCCCAAGCCGAGAGGAACGCCCAAGCTGTCAGAGAGGTACGCCGGCCCTGGATGGCTCTGGGGCCCTGGTGGTGGGAATGGGGGGCTCCTGGGACCTCTGGGGAGGCACAGGACCTACTGTATACCCCCCAAGCATGGGCAGGGTTCATCTCTGGGTGGGGAAGGAGTGCTGTGCCCACATCCCTTCCCCCGAGGCTCCCCGGGGACCCCTGACCTGTGGGCAGCGGTGCCAGGTGGAGTCACCCACCTCTGCAGTCCCCTCGCCTCTGCTGCCTTTGTGACGGGGTCCTGGGCCGGCTCGCTGAGCTGGGAGGATTGGCAGGCAGGTGTAGGAAAGGCCAGCACAGCGCAGCCATGCACCTGGCTCAGCCCTTCCACCGGGGACCCTGCATCCCGGGTGAGGACATCGGGACGTCCCCTGTGGTGTGGCCACCACAAGAGTAGCTAAGACTCGGCAAGCACTTGCTGCGGGCCAGTGCGGTGCCCGCTGGACCCGTCCCGTGACCTGTGGGGGAGGCTCCCTGCTGTCCCTTGTCCCGGTGGGAGGTGGTGCAGAGGCCAGGTGACCTTCTGTGTCACGGAGGGAGCCCCTGTGGGTCTTTCCTGGGCTGGGCTGTGTGGCCTGAAGGTTCACCCCGTCTGGCCTCTAGGGGTACAGGGGGATGTGACCGTCATAGTCCGTGTCAGCCTGCAGCCCAGACTGGCCTCACCATGCTGGGGGCGGGAGGGGAGGAAGCGCTGTTTCTCATCCGTCCCCTTGGAGATGGACTCCGCGCTGTGCAGAGAGAGGGGGGTGCTGCCCCTTCCCTCCTGAGGGTTCCTGCCTCCTGCCCGACAGGACGCCCGACAGGACGCCCGCCCCCAGGAAGGACCCTCCCTGGATCGCACTGGTCCAGGCAGAGCCAAAGAAGAAGCCGGCCCCTCTGCCGCCGAGCAGCAGCCCCCGGCCGCCGAGCCGGGACAGCAGGCGGGTGGAGAATGGAGGCGAGGAGGTGGCCCCCAGGAGCCCTGCGGCGGCTGGCCTGGAGCCCAAGCCCTACAACCCCTTTGAGGAGGATGAGGCAGAGGAGGCGGAGGAGCCCCCTGCTGCACCCAGTCTGGCCACCAGCCCTGCCCAGGCCCAGCCGGAGTCCACACCCAAGTCCCTGCACCCCTGGTACGGCATCACCCCCACCAGCAGCCCCAAGACCAAGAAGCGCCCTGCCCCCCGGGCGCCCAGCGCATCCCCGCTCGGTGAGTGCGGTCCCTGGAAGCTGTCCTGACAGTCGGAACTCGGGTCAGGGCTGGGAGCGGGCGTGGTTCAGCAGGATCCCTCTCGGCCAGGTGCCAGGTGGTTCACCTGTGTCCCCTCATTTATCCTGGAGCTAACCTGTGAGAGAGGTACCCTACCCCCATTCGCAGGTGGGGAAACCGAGGCACAGAGAGGGTAAGTGATTTGCCCAGGTCCTCACAGCATTTAAGCAGCGAGGCAAGATTTGAATCCAGGCCCTAGACTCTGCGTTTAGCTCTGTGGCCCCCTCGCAGGTCTGCTGTGAGAGTTCTCCGGTGCAGCGTTGAGCACAGCCTTGGCTCCCGGGAAAGCGCATGGCAGGGCTTAGCTGGCCTCTCCAGTGACAGCCTCGCCAGTCACTCCCCTCCCGGCGCCGCTGACAGCCTCGGGCTCTGACCTGGCCGTGTGACTCGGCCCTTGTGACTTTGAGCAGTTCCTTCCCTGTGTCTGTCCTCGTTTGCTCATCTGGGAACGGGTAGTGGTGGGCGTGTGCCCTCTGCCAGCGCTCCCGCCCCTCCAGGCACCGGCCGGCCGGCAGTCTTCTTAGCCCTGGGCCCAGTCACCTTCCACCATGGCAGGGGGCCGGCTGCCTGCCAGACCTCAGGGGAGCCCCTCAGACTGGGGGGCCTGGAGCGGGTTGGAGATGATCAAAGGCAGGTGGTCTGGGGTCCCCACTCTGGCCCTGCTGGAGCCCTGAGACCCTCTAACTGAGCCAAGTGGAGGTGGTGGGCGGCGTGGGACGCAGACAACGAGACGAGCTCTGAGGCAGACTCACGGGGTTCACCCCAGCTGTTGCCCGGCAGTGCCTTCGAGCTGCGCCTGCTGCCTGATATGCAGATGACGACACTGAAGCGTATTTCAGTGGTGCAGGCAGAGCCTGGCCCAGAGCTGGCCGCTGCGAGGCTGCGGCTCCTCCGCTCCTGCTGCCTCCCTCCCTCCCCTCTCCTGGTGGGAGCCTTGCTTTCCGTTTTGTCTGTGCCTCCCCTCCCCTGGCAGGTTTGCCTTTTTTTTAAGGCTAAAATTTTTATTTATTTTTTTCCCCTGTTTATTTTATTTTTGTTTGTTTTCAGATTTGCCTTTTAAACTTGGCCTGGGTTGGCTCAGATATGGGAGGGGAAGTGGAGGTGGTAGCCGTGCTGGGTCAGAACGTGAGAGGCGGGTCCTCGGGCCGGGCTCCATGTGGACGTGGAAGGACATGGTGGCCGAGGCCACCCGCAGACCTGGCGCCCACTTGCTCCTCTGTTTGCACAGCTCTCCACGCCTCCCGCCTCTCACACTCCGAGCCGCCCTCGGCCACCCCGTCGCCGGCCCTCAGTGTGGAGAGCCTGTCGTCCGAGGGCGCCAGCCAGCCCGCCGGTGGGGACCTCCTGGAGCCGCCGGTTGTGCCCAAGAGCTCCTCAGAGCCTGCTGTCCACGCTCCGGGCACCCCCGGGACCTCTGCCAGCCTCTCTGCCGGCTCCTCCCTGTCCTCCTCTGGCGAGCTGGCACAGCCCACCCCGGACCGGACGCCTCAAGCCAGCCCTGGCCTCGCCCCCAATACGAGGGGCAGCTCGGGTGCCCAGCCAGCCAAGCCCTGCAGTGGCGCTGCCCCCACCCCGCTCTTGTTGGTGGGAGACAAGGTCCCCGTGCCTTTGCCTGGCACCTCCTCCCCGCAGCTCCAGGTAAAGGTGAGTGCCTCACCCTCACCCAGAAGCTGGCCTGTCAGTGAATGGGGTCTGGTCTCAGGACAGGAATGTCCGGGGCGTCCATCTTTGCTGGCCTCTTACTTCTTGACTGACCTTGCCGTGTCTATTTACCCATTCGTCACCCCATTCGCTGAGGCACAGATCCATCTGTCTGTCTTTCGTCCATCGGCCAGACCTCCCGTCCATTTCTTCACCTGTCCACCCGCCTGGCCTGTAGGCATTGATGCATTCAGGCACCTGCTTACCTGCCTATCCATGCACTTCTCCCTTTGGGATCCACTCACCCAGCCACCATCCATCCGCACGTCCTCCTGTCCACCCTTCTGCTCCCTGAGGCCCTATTTATGCCAGAGGCCCTCCCAGGCCCATCCTGCACTCCGTCTCCTTTCGGGGGTGGCGTGGGCATGAGGTGACCATCCCAGGGAACTCAGGACCTTTGTGGGCTGTCTGCACACTTGTTTCACTCCCACGCCAAGAACGGGGGGTGACCAGGGGTCAGGACATTCCTCTGGGCACCTAGTTCCTGAGGGGCCTCTCTTGCAGCCACAGCCCCTCTGGGCCACCAGGTTCTGATCGTCCACTTTCGCCCCACACTCTGAGCTCTCTGAAGGCCAAGGCTGGTCCAGCCCCCGGGGAAGTGGCAGGACGGCTCCTATGGGGCAGCTGTGGTCCTGGTCTGACCCGACAGGACAAGGCTGGGGAGGCAGCTGACCTATTGGTCCAGTCTCTGCCCATGTGCCTCTCAGGCATTTAACCTTCCCTGACCTCCGCCAAGGCTGCCGGTCTAGCTCTGCCACCCACCTGCTGACCCTGGAGAAGGCCGCCCTGCCCCTTCTCTGGCCCCGCCCCTTCTCTGGCCCCGCCCCTTCTCTAGGCCTCAGCGGCTCTGAGAAGCTGCAGGGTTCCTCGGTGGGAGGTGGGGGAGGGGGTGACTTGAGGCCGCTCCCTTTAAACACCCTCTTGGTGTGAAGGAATTGTGTCAGAAAAGGCTGAGGACCCCCGAGGGGCTGGGGTTTCGGGCTGTTTGGCACTGCTGAGCCCCTCGGGGTGCGACTGCGGAGAGAGGAGGTAGAGTCCCAAGTGGGCTGGCTTCCTTTTGAGGCATCCCCACACCCTAACCCCAAGGGTAGGGGAGGATGGCAGAGGCACTGTGGGCAGAAGTGGGGGTCTTGGTGGGTGCTGCCTTGCGGGAACCGTACCTGCCTCCCTGCCATGCCTGGACTCAGAGCAGCTACCCCAAGGGAACCTCTCCCCGGGCTGCACAGGGGGTGAGCAGGGCCCCGGCCTCCCCAGCTGCTGGGGAAACACTCGGGGAACACGCCACAGCCCGTGAGGCCTCTCCATGGGGCCCTGATGACCCCTCTGTTTCCAGGGGCTGGGGAAGTGGTTGGAGGTGCTAGGGCTGCTGGCTGTGCTGGGAGAGAGAGAGAGAGAGAGACAGAGAGACAGAGAGAGACACGCTCTGGTGCACGAAGGGGCCAGTGGGGAGAGGGTTCTTTCCTGGGCAGGCGGGAGTGCTCTCCGCCACCTGCTGGCCAGATGCAAGGGGGGGGGGTAGGATCCCCTGCTTTCCTACTTCCCAACTGGGGCCACGCTGGGCAGGGAGCAGTGCCTCTCTGAGCCTGGGGGTCCTCGCTGGGGAAGGGGCGGTTATGAGGCCCGAATGAGCTACGACAGCTCTGTTGGCCTTAATCTCCCAAGACCTGACCACTGCCCCAGGGCTGGATGGCTGCCCGCCCTGCCCTGACACATGCTCAGCCCGGCTGGGGCCCCTGGGAAGTGCATGACTTTGAGCCTATTACTCAACCACTCTGACCTTGAGTTTTAGCTGTAAAGGGGGCATCACAATACCCACTGTGAAAGCATATGTACGAGTTCCAGGGCAGCAGCCGCACTGGGCGGTGGGGAATGGGAGGTGTGTTGGATGACTGAGGGCCTCAGAGACTGAATGCTGGGAGGTGCCTCTCTGCGGGGGGGCCCCCTCTCCTGCCCCGGGGCCAGCCTGCTTTCCAAAGTCCCACTGCTCCCTTCCCAGACTTACCCTCTGTCGTGTCACCTGCCTTTAGTCTTCCTGCAAGGAGAATCCTTTTAACCGGAAGGCGTCGCCCACAGCGTCCCCAGCCCCAAAGAAAGCCACCAAAGGACCCAAGCCAGCGAGGCCACCTGCCCCGGGACACGGCTTCCCGCTCATCAAGCGCAAGGTACCAGCTGGGAGCTCCAGGCTGCCGGGCCCAGCCTTCCGTGGCAGCCACAGGCTCCCCATGGGGCACGTGGGGAGGATGGGCTGCCTGGGCAGCTGCGCCCAGATGTTGGAGAGGGGTGTGTGGGTGGTCCAGCTGGAAGGTTAACTTGACCAGGGAGATTTTTAGCAAATCAGCTGTTTGCAAGCAGGAGCAATGGGTGGTGCCTCTAGCTCGTTACTAAGAGTAGCTCAAGGATCAAAGCACTCACGTGACTCTTCAGTAAGATGGACCCGTGTTCTCCAGTGTACCTCCATAGCAGTGATGGCGAACCTCTGACACGCATGTCAGAGGTGACACACAAACTCATTTTTTTGGTTGATTTTTGTTAAATGGCATTTAAATATATAAAATATCAAAAATATGGTGTTTTTTTTAATATGGTTGCAAAGATCAAAAAATTTCTCTATGTGACACGGCACCAGAGTTAAGTTAGGGTTTTTCAAAATGCTGACACGCCGAGCTCAAAAGGTTCGCCATCACTGCTCTATAGCAAGGCCACCCACACTGGGATATGGCCTAGGGAGCGGCAGAGGAGGGGCAGGGCTGCCACGAGAGGCGGGAAGCTGTGCCTCCCTCTGCATGTGCCCATTGGTGCCGGGGCCAGGGGCATGGAGCAGCTGTGTCTGTGCCCACAGCAACCCTTCCCCACCCTGGGTGCCGCACAGGGCGTGGGATGGCGCCCGGGCCCTGGGCCTGTGGCGGCCAGTGCCGGCCGGAGAACGTGAAGCTCCTGGCAGCAGGCAGGGGCGGGTGGCTGTTCCTCAGGTGACCGGGGTGCTGTCGGGCAGGTCCAGGCTGACCAGTACATCCCCGAGGAGGACATCCACCGAGAGGTGGACACCATCGAGCGCCAGCTGGACGCCCTGGAGCTCCGTGGGGTGCTGCTGGAGGAGAAGCTGCGAGGCGGGGTGAATGGTGCGAGAGCTGCGGGAGGGCCGGGGCGGGGGTGGGGGTGGCGGGTGCCGCTCTCACTGCGGGCGGGCCCTGCTGCCAGCCCCGGCCTCAGTGTGCACCTGGTTGCAGAGGGCCGTGAGGACGACATGCTGGTGGACTGGTTCAAGCTCATCCACGAGAAGCACCTGCTGGTGCGGCGGGAGTCCGAGCTCATCTACGTGTGAGTCCTCCCGCCCTCGGCCCCCGCTCCCGCCCCGGGACCGTACAGCTGGGAAGGGAGGCACTCCCCGCCCTCCTCCCGCGCCACTGACAGCGCAGGCCAGGCCGCCTTGCGTGGGGCCGAAGTAACAGTCGTCTTATTCCCACCCTCCAGCTTCAAGCAGCAGAACCTGGAGCAGCGCCAGGCCGACGTGGAGTATGAGCTCAGGTGCCTCCTCAACAAGCCAGGTGAGTGCAGCCTCGTGCCCTCGGGCACCACCCAGGCCTGGGACCCGTCCTTCCCCTCCAGGCTGGGCAGTGGACGGACAGCGCCCTGATGGGGACACACCAACTCTGGGAACAGGGCCGGGGAGAGGGCTGGGAGGCGCCGTCTGGGTTGCATCAGGTTATAAACAGGCGTGGCCAGCAGGGGAGTGTGGACACATGTGTCGGAGATGACTGGCCCACAGAGCACCAAGCTCAGGAACAGACTGTGGCTGCCCCCCTCCTGGGACCTGTGGGTGGGTGGATTCCCCGGGGGCGGGGCTCAGGCTCCAGAGCCCAGGGCTGCTCTGATGAGTGGATGACAGCAGCTCTGGGCTCATGCCCTCAGGCTAGAGCAGTGATGGCGAACCTATGACACACGTGTCAGAGGTGACACGCGAACTCATTTTTTTGGTTGACTTGTTAAACGGCATTTAAATATATAAAATAAATATCAAAAATATAAATCTTTGTTTTATTATGGTTGCAAATATCAAAAAATTTCTATATGTGACACGGCACCAGAGTCAAGTTAGGGATTTTCAAAATGCTGACACGCCGAGCTCAAAAGGTTCGCCATCACGGGGCTAGAGCAAGCATGTCAAACTCTCGGCTGCTTGCCTGGGCTAGAGCACAGCAGGACTGCCCGCACTGGGGGGAAGGTGGAGGGATCCCCCGCACAGCGTGACTCAGGATGACTGGGAGGGGGGCAGGACCGGCTCAGGATGGTGGAGGGGCAGCTGGAGGGTCGGGGAGGAGGCAGACCATCCTGTGTTTTGCTGCTAATGTCCTGGGGGCGGGGCCTCCCTGGGCCTCAGTGGCTTTGGGTGTCAGACAGGATGAGGGTACCTACCTCACAGGGTGTCCATGGGGCCAGGTGACAGTGGGTGTGGAAATACTCTGTGGCCCCTGAAGGGCGGAAATGATGGTTGTTAAGTGGCTGAGCTGGGGTCCGTGGCTGTGACACGGGAGCCGCAGCGGCAGGCCCAGAGGCCCAGGGACTGTGGTGTTTAGAGCGGGAGCCAGGGCTCTGACCACTTCCTGTGGCCCAGGTGGGCACCGTCATTTCCACCAACAGGTGAGCCAGAGGTGGAGTCTTGCCCAGGGATGGTGGACCTGGGCCCGACTCTGTAGACACAGCCCTTCCTGCCAGCGGGTCGGTGCTGCCTCTCCATTGACTGGGGACGTTGGGAGGTGGGATGAGGCCCGGAGGCCAGAGCGTCCCTGGGAGTCACTCGCAAACCTCAGGGAAGGCTGAGGCGTGGCCACCCTGGATGGAGCCACAGCGACACCCTGTGGCCAGAGTGGGCACAGCACCTGTATGCCCGGCCAGCCTGGCTCTGGCCTTACTGTGTTGCTTCTCCAGCCCTCTGCATGGTGACAGCACATCCTAGCTTTGTCACCTGTCCCCAAGGTTGCTTTGGCAGGTGGGACTGGTTTATAAGGCCCCAAGTGGGTTGGAGCCCCATAGATACCATAAGGGCTGCAGATGGTGTCAGGTCGCCCAGGTTCAAATACGGGCTCCATCCTTGCGGTGTGACACTGATCACGGACTTGACTTCCCTGAACCTCAGCTTCCCCACATGGAGATCGGTGACATAATTTACCCGGGCTCAGATCTGGGAAGTGGCAGAGTAGGACTTGAACTGGGGAACTTGAAGCCCGAGCTGTCCCCAGAACTGTGAGGGCCACCTGCTCTTGCCTTGTGCGAGGTGAAGTGGAAGGGGCTGGGCATGGCTGGGAGTCCTGTGGTGGCAGGTGTGGAGGGAAGGCCCACGGGGCACCCATCCCCGGGGCCTGTGGGCCCCTGAGTTGGTCCGTGAGGGTTCTTGAGAGGAGACTGGAGGAGCAGCAGGTGCATGGCTGGGCCCCCTGCCCCAGGGTCCCCTCTAGTCTGCCCTCCTTCATGGCATTGATGTTCCAATAAGCCACGTTGGCCACCGGGCTTCTCCTGCACGAAGACCCCTGGGATTCCCTGTTCTTTCTCCACCCCTGCTCCCCTGGCCAGCCGCCGTGGGAGGTTCTCAGAGGCCCAGCCCCATCCCGCCTCCTCCGAGAAACCACCGTGAGCATTTGTGAACGAACGAATGCGCGGAAGCAGGAGGCCACCTGCATGCGCTGGTCTCTGGCCTCTGCTTAGAGCAGGTGCTGTGCTGCCTCCTGAGCCCCACGGGTGGTGTTTCTGGTAGGCAGCCCAGTAACCTTGGTCTCCTCTATAATGACCTTCATCTTTCCCAACACGTGGACTCCCCACCCATCTGCTCCTGCATCCTGGCCTCTGGCACAGGGCTGGCCCGAACTCGGCACTTAGGGGTTGCTGCCTGGCTTCCTGGGAAGGCAGGAGGGTTTCCTACCACTCACACCCCCAGCTTTTCTCCTTGGGCAGAAAAGGACTGGACAGAGGAAGACCGGGGCCGGGAGAAGGTGCTGATGCAGGAGATGGTGACCCTCATCGAGCAGCGCAATGCCATTGTCAACTGCCTGGATGAGGACCGGCAGAGGTGACCAGGCTGGTCAGGGCTCCCAGGGGCTCCTGGGGGAAGGGCTCAGAGCAGGCGGGCCAGCCCTGCCCTCACTGCAGCGACCCCAGGGCACCCTTGTTCACCCTGGGGGAGTCGGAGGCTGGAAGGGACTGGGATTTTCTGGCCCTTCCTCCTGTGGGACACTCAGCTTCCCTTTCTGGTTTCAGGGAGGAAGAGGAAGATAAGATGTTGGAAGCCATGATTAAGAAGAAAGGTGAGGCCCCCCCACGGCCCCGGCCCCTTTGAACTCCAGGTTGAACAGAGGGGTGGAGTGGGCACTACAGCGATGGGTGTGCCAACTCCCAGTTCTGTTTTGTTGGGAAGGCCGTGTGTGGCGAGGCAGGCGGCCTGTGGCCAGGAAGGCCGGCCTGGGCTTGGAGGGTGGGTGTGGCTGCCCGGTGCCCACAGGGAGCACCGATGTGCTGTGAGCATTTTCCCAGCGTGGTTTACCGAGCTCTGCCTTCCTCCTGGAGAGCTGCAGCTGGTCTTAGAAGTCTGTGGGCTCCAATAGCAGGACCTTCCAGCAATAAGGCAGGGCCTGCAGCGGTGAAGGGAGCACTGAGTGGGCAGTCAGGAGACCTGGGTTTAATCTTAATTCCACTGTGACTCATGTTGTGGCCTTGCGGCTGCGTCTGGACTCCAGTCAGACTGCTGGCTTCCAGCCGCTCTGGTGCGTATTAGCAGGGGACTTGAGCCTGACTCTCCTGGCCTGCGAGGCCCCGCTTCCCAGGTGTGCGCTGAGGATACTGGGAAATGTGTGGGAGCACTTTGCCAGGGCCTGGCATCTACAGAGAGCTTAGTTGGTGCTCGTCCATTGTAAACCCACATTTTCTCGTCTGTCTATAAAGTCGGGGCACGGAGAGATGATTTCTGAGGTTCCTTCCAGCTCTGAGTCAGAGTTTGTGTTGTAACCCACAGAGCTGTGAGCACCGGCCTAGTGAATCAGCCTTTTAAAGATAAACGTATGCCATACTTCAGACATCGCACATTCCTTTATCCCGGATCCTTGCCAAAGCCCTGGGAGAGAATATGGTTCCCATCCTGTAGGCAAAGAACCAGAGGCTGAGGGCGAAGTGACGTGCCCAGGGCTCCCGGGAGGAGGTGCCGGCCTCTGCCACAACCCTCCCCCCTCTCTCCTGCAGAGTTCCAGAAGGAGGCTGAATCCGAGGGCAGCAAGAAGGGCAAGTTCAAGAAGGTGAAGGTGCTGAAGCTGCTGGGAAATAAGCGTGACGCCAAGAGCAAGTCCCCCGGGGACAAGAGCTAACAGCGAGGGGACTGCCACCCCCGCTGGCTCAGCCCTATCCGGGCTGGTTCCGATGACTCTGATGCTGGTCAGACCCAAGGAGCAAGCAGGGTCCAGGGTCCTGGGTCCAGGGAGCGGCAGCAGCCGCACACACCTGCCTCGTCCCGCCCAGCCCGGATGTGACGGCAGCTCCTGGGTCCTTCCTTCTGGGTCACGTCCAGACGGGATTCTTCGCTGTTAAAGTTCGGACCTGAGGGTCCTTCCCCCACGAGGTGTGCGTCCGGCCTCCTGCCTCTAGGGCTCTGCTCCTCGCAGGCAGAGCCGGGCTTGGCTGCGCTGGCTGCTTCCTGCCCGGCCCGGCCCGGCCCAGTTCCTGTCTTCCTCGCCGGGCAGGTGGCCCGAGTCTGCTTCTCCTCCCCGGGAGCTCTATTTATGAAGTCTCCGTGTTGCTCAGTGACTGTGTCCTTAGCTATGAGTGGGGCTGATGGACGAAACCCTCCCTCCGTCTCTGAGTTCCAGGAGGCGCTTCCCTCGTTCCTTGCTCTGTAGGAACCTCACAGGACGGGCTGTGATGGCTGCACTGGGGACCTGGGGGCCGCAGCTGAGTCTCCCCACAAGGGCCTCGAGGCAGCTCCCTGATCGCTGAGGGGTCTGCTTGGTGTAGGTGCTAATCCCGGTCTCTAACACACTGTCGTCTGAGGCCCCACTGAGGCTCACCTGCCCCCCGGGGGGAGGGCCTGTTCCTGCGCGTGGTCACCACCAGTCTGTCCTCACACTCCTGTTGCTTGTTCTCCCCGACTGATTCCCACCAAAGGGCTGACCGCCACTCTCCCCACTGGGAGGAGCAATGGGGACCAGGCCTTTCCCCAGGGACTGTGCCAGCAGCTCTGGTCGAAGCACTGTGGCTATCAGCTAGTTCTGGGACCTCCAGGCCCCTTCCCTCAGCACGCCTTGGGGAAGATCTCACTGTATTCACTCCAACAATGAATGGAAACCAAGATTGCCGTGCCCTGCAGCCTCGGGCGCTGTGCCCTTGGCCAGGTCTGCCTTCTTTCCCGGGTGCCTCCGGTGTCTGGCCTCACTGGTGGCCCAGGAGGCGTGTAGGGGCTCTGGCCCTCACTGCCCGCCCTCGTAGCCCTGCAGTCCCCTTCCTCATGTGCCTGTTGCCCTGGGGCTGGGTCACCGACTCCAGGGCCTTTCGGGGGCCAGGATGCAGGAACCGGGCTGGGGTGCCTCAGTGTCAGGAGACTCGGGTGGTGGGGACTACCGTGGCCATGTGCCCAGTGTCGTCAGATCTTTCCATTTTTCAAAAGAAGCTAGAAATCCAGATTGTGTGTGTGTGTGTGTAATTTGTAATGTTGGCAACTAATCTGAAATTAAATCGAGGGCAGGCTGAATGTATCCTGGGTTCCAGTTTGCTGCCTTGGGGCCATGCGGTGGGGCCGCTGTGGGGGAGGATGGGTCTTGTCATGTTGCGCCCTCTGGCCTCAGGTTCCGGAGTGCGGTTGGACACAGGCTTCCCGTGGAATATTCCAGAACCAGCCCTTGATCTGGCCCCCCTCCCTGATCTGTTTGAGGCTGCAGGTGGAGTTTACCAACCCAAACTTGGGTCATGTGGCCTGCAGGGTTATATGACTCCCGGGTGGGAGGGCTGCTGGACATTTCCAAAATATTTTGATTCACGGAGATGGGAAATGACAGACTGCCGGGGACCGGAGGGCTGGTGATTGCCAAAGCCGTGGGGGGCGCGCAGTGTGCCCGCCGGCTGCCGTGCTGGGCAGACGCCTCCTTTGAGGCTGGGCCTCGCAGGTGAGGGTCGGAGCTGAGGCCGGGGCCGGAACCGTGGGTTTGGTGGAAAGACGCAAAGCTGACTTAACCGAGTCGGCTGCTTGCTAGCGACGTGACCTTGGTTTTTGCAGCGTTTTGAGCCTCCGTTTTCACGGCGGGATGACGAACCTTTGTGGGGGGCGGGGTACGGAGAGAATGACTGCGAGAGGAATCCAGCACCTGCCACAGTGCCCGCTAGGGGGCGCTCAAGAGGTTCGTTGCCATTTCCACTTGAAATATGCAAACAGCTGGAAACATGCTTGAAAAAGTCTAACTCCTTGAACAAATAAGCCTTATCCCTCTGGAAACAAAACGGTGTGTGTAATGTGTCATGACCTGCGTTAAATGTGTTTTATTGGCCAATTCATCGTAGTGGTTAAACATTTGCCTAAGGCTGTAAGAAGTCAAAGAAGCAGGCCCTAAGACAGGAAGGAAGAAAGGAGCCATGTTCATTCCCGAGTTCAGAAGACTAACCATGGGGGCGCAGCGAGGCAGGTGGTGGGGTACGGGCCTGTGGCTGCCCTCAGACCTCTGTCCACGAGGTGTGTGTGTGTGTGTGTGTGTGTGTGTGTGTGTGAGAGAGAGAGAGAGAGAGAGAGAGAGAGAGAGAGAGAGAGAGAGAGAGAGAGAAACTGGATCTCAAGAGGCACAGCTGACCCAGGACCCCTGGGTGCAGTCTTGGGAAGAATCATTCTCTGACGTCCATTTTATAGGGTGCTGTGTATGCCTGGGTAGCCTGCACCCTAGGCCAGGGCAGTGCTGTATGACCATCTGACATGGCTGGAGGCCTGAGTGGGTGGGCTGACCTGGGCATGACCCTGCTTGGCAACGGGGTGGGCCCCAGTGGTCAAGGCTGGGCTGCTCCGCCCCTGGAGACGGACTAGGCAGTGGCCAGAGCCTTCCTGAGTTCCTTGCTCCTCTGGTGGTCGATGTCCTCCATTTCCCGTAGTTTCTGCAAGGGCAGCAGGGAAAGCTGGGCATCAGGGCAGGAGCTCCAGGCGCCAACACAGACGAGGCCAGAGCTGGACTCTGCCAGCCTCAGCCACAGCCGGCCCTTCCTTTCTACACGGACCTCATACTTCTCATGGTGCCACGTCCCCGCCGCCGCCTGCTCCTGTCCTACCTGGGAGATCTCTGTGAGGATGAGCCCTCGGTACTGTCTGGCCCGGCCCAGGGCCTCCATCTCAGCCAGGAAGTCTTTCCTCTCCTGGATCTCCTTGACCACTGGACAGAGAGAAGGGTGGTCATCGCTCAGGGTGATGGGGGCCGTCAGGCTCCTGGGAGGGGTGGGGGAGGGGGGCAGGGACTGCCTCTTGGGGGAGGAAGCAGTTCTGTAGTCACATCGTGTCTCGCTTAGTTAGCCCTCAGGGGTCAACCCTTCCCGGTTCTGGGCCCCTCCCTCCCCTCCCCAGCGCCAAGTGGCCCATCGGGGCTCACGTTCTTCAAACCGGTCCGGCTCGGGGGCTGGGTCCTTCCGCTGCACAGCACGGGGCTTCCTTTTCCGTTCCTCCTTGTCCTTCCCGGCGGCAAAGATGTCCTGGAGTCTTCGCTTCTCCTTCTCCAGATCTCCTGTAAGGCCCAGAAAAGGCCTAGTTAAGGCACGGAGGGCACCCCGGTTCATGGCCGGTGTTCCCAACTGGGCATGCTCGCTCCAAGGTGCCCCGGGAACATGGAGGCGGCTTCTGCAATCCCGGCACCGTCTAGCCACGCGCTCCTGAGCCTGCCTTGTCCAGATAGGCAGGGAAAGGGATGGGAAGAACCAAGAAGAGAGCTTCGTCCGAACCCACACGCGGCTTTGGTGCAGAACAAGGTAAGAAAACTCAGTGATCGCCGCATGGCGGCCTGTGTGCAGTGCAGCGGGGTCTGGGCCCAGAGTTCTGTGACGTGCCACGGAGGAAGGGGATGAGGGCTCCCTGGAGCAGGCTGGGGTGCAGAGAGCTGGATTTGAGGCACCGTGTCAGCCTGAGAGAGCCATGGCCATGAGGTCTGACGGCCAGCCACTCATCAGAGATGGAGAGAATCCAGTTAATTGTTGAAGAGAATTCTGGAAAATTTTTGAAAAAGGACAACCTGTTTTCTGCTGCGCCCTGAACGCTCCCCGGCTAACGTGCCAAGGCTCAAGAGCATTGGCGCCAACAGCGGGGGAATCTGAGTAGATTCGTGCTCACCTGCCCTGCTCATCTCCCCGCAACCCCCTGTCCCTCGTGGACGGGGGTACAGAGGGGCTCTGGTCCAGGCCCTCTCACTTACGGGTGGCTCGAGGCTTGAACTGCTCCCGGCTGTAGGCCCCATTGGCCTGGCACATGCTGGCAGGCCGGAGCTGGGACCGGGCCGCCAGGATGGGAGGCAGGCAGACGGCTGAGGCCGGCTGCTTGGCAGGCAAGACCCTCTGGCTGGATGTCGGGCTGCAGTACAGGGGCAGAGCTTCTCCTTCTGGGGAGGAAAAGGTTGGGGTGGGGGTCCCCTGGATTCGTATCAATTTGTAAATTGGCACCGTTTATAATGAGGCTAACAGTGCAGAAGAGTCTTCCCTCCTCCCCTCCCGGCCCCCCTCTGCAATGGCAGCAATTTGGCGGTCTCGTCCGTTCTGTATGATCCTATATAAACATGCTCATACAATGGACCACACTGCGCTACATTCCATAACACTCTTCACTTAACAGTGTATCACGGATCTCTTTCCAGATCACTCCATTTACATGTAGCTTATTTTTTTAAATATATTTTTATTGATTTTTTACAGAGAGGAAGGGAGAAGGATAGAGAGCTAGAAACATCGATCAGCTGCCTCCTGCACACCCACACTGGGGATATGCCCGAAACCAAGGTACATGCCCTTGACTGGAATCGAACCTGGGACCCTTTAGTCCGCAGGCGACGCTCTATCCACTGAGCCAAACCCGTCAGGGCTATGTAACTTATTTTTTACAGCTGCATACTAGTCCTTACGATGGCTACATCATATATTCAACTAGTCTCCGCATTTCAGAAATTCAGGCTGTCTTTATTTTATTTTTACTACTTCAAACAACACTGCAATAAACATTCTCGCACACCAAGCCTTCGTATGGTGCTTTTATTTCGATAGATGGATTCCTAAAACCTGCTTGGTCCACAGGGAAGGAGGGATGGTTTGGATGGTAATAGACACGAATCTGTCTCACTGCCCCGGCCCAGACCTGGGGGCTCCTCCGCTAGGCCGGCCCTGTTTGGATCTGGCCCGTCTACCTATTCCACCTTCTTCTATCATCCACCCGGCAAATACGTAATGAGCATCTACTCTGTGCCAGGCCAGACCACTGGGGGGAAGTGGTAAGAGAGACAAAGTCCTGCCTTCGAGGCGCCTGCATCTGGGGTGTGGAGTAAGGGAAAATAAAATACGTAGTATGTTAGGTGGCGGAGCGTACAGTGTGTGACAGCAGGACTCACAATTTAAGGAGGGTGGCCAGGGACGCCCTCGGGAAGAGAAAAGACCCGGCCGTGGTGAGGGAAGGGCACTGGAGGCAGGGGAGCAGCGAGAGCAAAGGCCCTGAGGTGGGAATGTGCCTGGAATGTCTGAGAACAGCCAGGAGGCGGGGTGCCAGGAAAGCCGTGAGCAAGGGGGGTGTGGTGGGAGTAGAGGTCAGAGGTCATGGGAGACACGAGAAGGACAGGGCCCCGTAGGCCTCTGGAAAGACTGGCTCTTACTTTGTGTGAGGTTGGAAGCCATCGGAGGGCTCTGAGCAGAGGAATGACATGATCCTCTTGGTGCTGTTGAAAATATAATACAGTGTTGGGGGCCAAGGGCAGAGGCGGTCAGGATATGGGCTGAAGGTCAAGCGATGGGCTGGCTGATGGGTCAGGAGGGGTCTGGAAGGACGGAGCTGCCAGTGTTTCGCATTGACCTTCCCTTCACACGGCGCTCTGCGTCTCTCTTCTAAAGTGATGCTGTGGCCCTAAACGGTTTGGCTCAGTGGATAGAGCGTCCGCCTGTGGACTGAAGGGTCCCAGGTTCGATTCCGGTCAAGGGCATGTACCTGGGTTGCGGGCACATCCCTGGCGGGGAGTGTGCAGGAGGCAGCTGGTAGACGATGTTTCTCTCTCATTGATGTTTCTGGCTCTCTATCCCTCTCCCTGCCTCTCTGTAAAAAAAAAAAAATCAATAAAACATATTTAAAAAAGTGATTTAATAAAGTGATGCTGTGCCTCCTAGAATGTCCCCCTGCTCCCTCCACTCCCTATTTCTGCCTGTCCAGTGCCAGATGCTCCCTCTTCCTCTGGTCGATTCTCAGCAAATAATTATGGCCCGAGTAATTCTGGGAGTTCAGGTAAAGGAGAGAAATTTGTGGCTTGCAACAGAATTTGGAACAAGGCTCAGAACAACAGTAGGATTTGAATAAGAGGAGAGAAGTAAAGAGAGTCCAGAAGAAAGCAGATTCAACAGCAATGCTTGGGGCAATTAAAAAACCCAAACCTCTAAGGGGAATAACACTGCCAGGTGAGCCAGTTACTTGTGTTGGCCTAACCACTAATCCTTCAATAAATATTGAGCACCTGGGTGCTGGGGCTACCCCAGTGAACAAGGCAGACGTAATCCTTGGTCTTCTGGCATTGACTTTTAGTGGCATTCTAGGACAGTCTCTGTAGTTGTGTGACAGGGGACACCATTTATTAGTATGCTGCTGACTGTGGAGACTCAGTTATGACTCAGATGTGCTATGGCACTCGGCTCTGGCAGCCTGAGTTGCCCTTGCCCACAATAAGGAAGGACATCTGACCCATGACCTGGCCTGATGGATCCTCCCTCCCTCCCCAGCCGGTGCTGAACAGATGCTGCCTTTATCTGCCTCCCTGACTCTCCCTTCCCTATGCTTCTGTGGTTAATCAGATGCCCTCCCGATACACACATTCTTTCTTCAGAGAAGGCGATAGCTTTTGATAGAATCAAGTAAAATGGTCAAGCTTACTCTCTCTCTCTCTCTCTCTCTCTCTCTCTCTCTCTCTCTCTCTCTCTCTTATTGATTTGAGAGAGAGAAAGGGAGAGAGAACTATCAATGGATGATCCTGACTGGGGATCGAACCTGCCACCTTTTGGTACCAGATGCCGTTCCAACCAAGTGAGCCACACCAGCCAGGGCTGGCATTCTGTCTCTTAAAGGGAACTTTCCAGGACACTGTTTGATCCATTAAATGTTGATTCAGTTGAATCTCAGAAAGTGAGGTTGCTTACAAGATCTTAGTGCCCGCCCCCCCGCCAAATACTACAATTTGGGGTCAGAGGTGAGCAGTGCAAAGGCTTTGCATAGTCTTCCCACGTTGGAATTCTGCCCATTTTCTTGTTTCTGCTAGCTAAGCTATGAATGGATAAAACAACAAGACACATACATACACAGTTCTCTCCTCTGGGGAGCTCATACGGCATGTGTGTAACAGGGAGGAACAGACTGCAGACATGACAGTTTTGAGACGATTTTGGCTGGGCAAGAAGTTCTAGTTGCTCTATGATCTCCTGGGGAGGCTGGCTAGAGCGGGACTGCAGGAAGCTGGTTGTGCCAGGATGAATGTCAGGAGGGAGTAACAAAAGCCCCTCAAGGTCAATTCCCCAGGGGCAAGATAAAAAATACCGCGCTGTACTGTTTTGGTCTTTGAAAAGGATGCCCACTACTCCTTAAGATGGAAGAGCACTAAAAAGGTGGCCCAGAACCCCTCTGTCCAGCAAGCCTCTGTGGACTGACCCTTACTTTTCATGGTGTCCATGATGTGTCGCTGTTGGAACTTAGTCAGTTTGGATTCCTTCATCATCACTGCAAGAGAAAGCACTTGAGTCAGGCCACCTGGGCTGCGGGCAGAAGCCTTCATCTCTCACCACTGAAATGCAAAATTGTCACCTCCTCCCACCATTCTGCACCCAAGCACTCCCTCTCTTACTCTCCTGCTTTACTTTTTCCTGTAGCACTCGTCACCATAGCTCTATAGATTTTGTTACCCTCCCACTAAAATATTTGCTCCATGAGAGCAAAAATTTTTGCTGTTTTTTTTCTTCTTCTTTTTTTTTAATGCTGTATCCTCACCACCTAGAACAAAGCACATGGTGGGCTTTTATTTTTTTATTTATTTATTTTTTTAAATATATTTTATTGATTTTTTACAGAGAGGAAGGGAGAGAGATAGAGAGTTAGAAACATCGATGAGAGAGAAACATCGATCAGCTGCCTCCTGCACATCTCCTACTGGGGATATGCCCGCCACCCAGGTACATGCCCTTGACCGGAATCGAACCTGGGACCTTTCAGTCCGCAGGCCGACGCTCTATCCACTGAGCCAAACCGGTATCGGCACATGGTGGGCTTTTAAATGTTTTTCATTGAGTGAAGGAATGCATGCATGAATGAATGAGCAAGTATTCACAAAGCATGTGCCAGGCACTGGAGCTACACTAGGGAGCCAAAACAGGAACAACCATACCCTGATGGAGTTCCCGGGCTAGGGGTGTAGGATACTGATCCAATGAGACACGTTGAATATCTGACTACAGGTTATGCTGAGTCCAATGAAGAAAAGGTATTTGGTAAGGTGAGGGCACATAACAGTTGTTGTTGGGGGTGGGGCTGCGGGGGGAGGAGATAAGGCTTCCCTGGGAGGAAGCAGAATGTTCCATCTAAGAAATGCACAAGAATGATCTACTCTGAAATCATTTATTCTTTGACTTTTAGCCACTTGCAAGTAAGTTGTAGGACCTGAACCTTCCTGAACCCAAGGCTTCTCCTCTGTAAAATGAAAATAGCAATGACGAAGCCACAGGTCACGTAGGGGAGACCTGAGTTTCAGAGGATAACTGCTACCGCTCTTACCCTGTCCTTTAAGCGTAGTACTCACCTCTGAGGAGCTCGCAGGTTCCAAGGGTGTAAGTGGTCTGCTTGGGGCAGCGACAGAAGCCCGTTCCTTTGGTCACTGCCTTTACCCTATCCTGGGAAGCCATGGGAGGGCTCTGCGGAGGATAAAAGCGCGGTGACACAGCCGTCTCCCAGGTCCAATCTCTACTCCAGCCCCCCCCAGCCCGCCCCTAGCCCAACACCAGGAAAGTCTGGGAGCAGTCCAGTCCCATTAGAATTGTGACGCCGCTCTCCACTATTGCGACAGTGCCCTATCCTTCCACCCGAGCAGATACGCAGGCAGATGCACACACGTGAACAGAGACCTCATCTTGACCAGGTGTCTGTGGCAGGAATGCCCTAGGCAGGGGGCCTCCGATAGCCGTGCTCACGACAGTGCCTTAGGTGTTACGCCCAAATTGAAACCTCACCCTAAAGTAAGACGCCGGTTGGGTGGGGCCCCACGCAGACAGCGACGGCTGGGACCCACCCCGTCCCCAGCGGTGGCTGGGCTCCGAGAACCAAAGACCGTAATCACGGCTCTACCGCGGCACCACGCGCAGGCCCAGCGGAAATACTCTGAGATCCTGGTGCACCAAGCGGGCCGCTAGACGCTCTGGCTACCATGGTAACGAGCGCGCCAGCTATTCGGCGCATGCGCACACACCTACAGCACGGGCCCGCCTTCTGGTAGTGATCGCTTCCGGGTTACCGCGCAGGCGCAGAGAACGCGTGGCGCTGAGCGAGGCGGGGGCGTGCGGTTTGTGGGGCTCCGCGCGCGGGTGCGGGGCGCGGATCCGGGTCGCTGCGGCGCGGGCGTCATGTCAGACAACGAGGACAAGTGAGTGCGAGAGCGAAATGCTTTGGCGGATCCTCGGCAGGGGCGGGTGAAGCGGGAACCTGGGTCGAGGGAGGCTGGGGAGCCAGGAGTCGAGGATCAGAATCTGAGGGGACCTGGGCTGCCGAGGGGGCCCGCGGTGCTGGAGCCGCGAGGGCGGAGAGCATAGCCCGAGGTTGGGCACAGGAAGGCTCGGGCTCGAGGGTCCAGAGAGGATCCGTGCACAGGCGCCTTCAGCAGACTTCCGCCGAGCCGGGCGCTGTGCCTTGGTTGGGGCCATTTCGGTGCATTAGGCATAGTCCCCGATCCCCACGTGCTCCCTTTCTAGAAGAGGGGACGGCCCATGGACAGATGCAACAGCATCCTGTGAGCTGAGGCAGGGCCTCGAATAAAGTTTTGTTTCAGCGTCGGTGAGATGCTGTAGGAGCGGCACTCCTGCTTGTATCAGCCGATGGTAGTAGCATGGGTTTCCGCACGTTGTTCTGCTTCAAGTCGCAGGAGCTGTCCACGATGTTAAGTGAGGACCTGCTCTGCAGAAGCACCGCAGGGGTGAGGAAGGCCTGCAGGTGCCGTCGCCTGGCTGAGAAGGCGGTGGCGTGTACGAGGGCAATAGGAGTAGAGGTAGTAGAGGTCGTGAGCGGCGGCTTGAGTTCCGGATTTATTTTGAAGCGAAGGCCCGAATGATGTTCTGATGTGTGTGTGTGTGGGAGGGGGGTGTCCAAGGAGAGGTCTGTTCTGAAGATGAAAATAGGGGCTTGGTCAGCATAAGCATATTATTCCAAACGAAGAAGCAGGTGAGGTCATCAGAGGAGTGTCCGTGGAGAAGAGGAGGTGCCTGCTGGACCCTGGGCCTGAGCCTTTCTGTGCCCACCCTCGGGCGATGCTTTTGGCTCCCGCCCTTCCTGCTCGCTGGGCCCCCATCAGCAGTTAGAGCATCCCAGCATCCCAGGAGGGGTGCTTGGGGGGAAAAGAGGGGAAACCTGCCGAGGAGACTGGGAAGGAGCAGCCAGTGAGGCGGGGACACACCAAGAGAGTGAGAGAGGGTATTGAGGGAGAGGGAGTGGCCTAGGGTGCCAACTGGGAGGCCAAGCTCAATGAGAACATGAACAGTCCATTGGATTTAGCAACACGGACGTCATTAAGACGCTCGAAAGAAGCAGTGGTTTTGAGGGAGTTATGGAGGTGGGCATCTTCTTGGAGTGAGATTACGACAGAAGGAGAAGAGAAGGATGGGAACCCATGGCGTTGGACAACTCTTCCATTAATTTTGTTCCCAAGGGGAGCATGGAAATGGGCTCCATGGGGAGAGCATAGAGAAGTTTTGTTTGTTTTTTAAGGTGGGGCAGTAGCTACATGTTTACATGCTGATGGGAATGATCCAGTAGAGAGAGGAAAGAAACAGTGAGGATGCATGAGTCCCGGCACACTTTGGGGGGCTGATGGGAGTAGGTTTGAACACAAGTGTGATTCACTCATTAAGTAGATATTTATCGAGCGCCCCCTCAATGTTGGCTGAGACACCCCATGCCCTCTTCGATTCGATTAAGTGATGCTCTAACTAACTGGTCTCTTCTTGTACAGTTTTGATGGCGACGACTTTGATGATGTGGAGGAGGATGAAGGACTAGATGACTTGGAGAATGCTGAGGAGGTCAGTAGTTAACCCTGGGCTCTCTCTTCTGCAGCCCAGGCTGCCAGATGGCCTGGCCAGTGATAACTCCCCGAATGCACCTGCCTCCTGTTTGTGCCCCTGCCACAAGCACCCCCAGTTAGAGTGAGCAGAGTTCTAGTCCTGGGTGTGGTGGAGAAGCTCTACAGGGTGGGTCCCAAGGCTTTTGTCCATTTGGATCACAGCCCATGGCTTCTGGGACTGTTAGTTCACTGATAGGTGAAATGTTACCTTCATTCATTCAACAAAGGTGTTGAATGTTTATTATGCACCAGGTGCTCTGCAGGGTGGGGGCACATAGGAGCAAGGGGGGGGAGGGGTGACCTGGGATAAAGCTGGAAGAGAAGGGCCCAGATCAGGCAGATTTCATAGCCTCAAGATAGCGGGAAGCCACTGAGGAGTTTTGAGCAAGGGAGTGGCATGATCCGGTTTGCACTTTAGAAAGAGCATTCTGGCCTCAGAGTAAGGAGCGAATTGGGGAGGAACAAGAGTAAAAGAGAGAGACCAACTAGGAAGCTCTCATAGACCTCCGGGGAGAGGCCTGTAGCTTGGACTTGGGCACTGCTGGTGTCAGTGATGAGAAACAGATGAAAGATATTTTGGTGGATTGGCTATGGACTGAGAAAGTGGGAGATGACAAGGATGACTCCTAGGTGTCTGGCTTGAGCGGCTAGGTGGATGGGTGACTGGCTTCGTGAATAGAATAGGGCTCTCCCTCTTGCATGACTGATGCAGGAAGAGGTGCTTTATGTCTCCTGGACAGAGTGGTCCCTTGACTTTCTTAGGCTTGGAAGCTGAAGCCCCTCTTTGAATTTTCTCCCCCAGGTACCTGTTCACTGTGTCAGACACCTCCTTCCCCACCCTTCCGGTCCCCTTCCATTCCTGTCCTGTCGGCTTTGCCTCCTACCTGTGGATTAGCTCTCGTCCCTTTCTACATACCCAGGGCTCAGCCTGGTTTAGATCTTTATTGTTTTTCACCATCATTACTGCAGAGATTGTGTTCCTGGTTTTCCTGCCTTCATTCTGCCCTGATTGCCTTTCTGCTGCCAGTCGTCTTTCTTACCTGATTGATTACTATTGGTCTCCCTTAAAATGGTCTCTTTGCTTCTGCCCTTGCCCCTCAGAATATTCTCAACTGAGTATCCAGAGTGGTCATTTTAAATGTTAAGTCAGATTGTCTCTCTCTTCTGCTCAGAACCCTCATCCAGTGGTTTCCCATCCATTCACAGTAAATGCCAAAAAGATGTCCAAGGTTCTCCATGACCTGGCCACTCGCTCCCTCTGTGACCTTATCTCTTCTTGCTGCCCCTGTCATGCCAGGCAGATTCCTGCTTAGGACTTTGATCATGCTGTTCCCTCTTCCAGGAACACTTTTCCCTAAGATATCCCCATGACCTGCTTCTCGCCTCCTTCAGGTCTGTCCAGGTCATCTCACTGAGGCCTCTGTGACCATCCTATTGAACTTGCAGCATCCTCCCCTTCCTTCCACATCACTGCCCTGGCACTTCCTGTCTTTTTTCTCTGTTGTCATACTGTACACTTTACTTATTAATTTTATTATCCCTTCTCATTATAACATAAGCTCCATAGGGGGAGAATTTTTTTTTTTTTAATCATAACACATTTTATTTTGTAGAAACACCTGTCAGTAAATTTATGGTCAAATACTTTCATCAGTGTTTCCATTTATGACATTTTATTTGAGAAATTTCAGTACGGATTTAACCAGACATATAAATCATATGGGGCGAAATGATTCTCTCTTCCATTTTGTGCCACATCAAGAGCTGGCGTTTGTGTTTACTCTGTCGCTGATAGCTTCGCGTCTTTGAGCAGATAACTTTCTGTCCCTGTTCTGTCTGGAAAATGGGCCATTTGAGCTAAAGGATGTCCAGGGTCCTTAGACTGTTAAAATGTGTACACAGTCTCCATGTGGTCTCCACTTTCAGTCCTAGCGTATCAGGGTTCTCTCCAGTGAGTCTTCTGTTGATTATTCAGGAAGTTTTTCTGTATTTTAGTGCATTTCCAGTTTGTTCCTGGGAGCATGTCCGTGCAGCATCCACTCACTCTGCTGCCATTTTAAGTCTCTATGTAGGGGAACAATTTTTATGTCTTCCTGCTCTGTCCCGAGAACTTAGAACACTGCCTGATATGTAGTAAACACTCAGTAAATATTTGTTGACTTAATTCTTTATTATAGAATTTATTCTCCCACCTACGACCCTATGTGCTCCTTTGCTCTAATCATACTCCACAATTAGCTGTCTAAACCTAGTGCCTTCTCTCCCTCCTCTGTCCTTTGGACATGCATTTCAACCTGTCTCCATGTCTTTCCCTTCCGTTGGCTTGGGGACTCCAATGAATTCTTCTACACTAGTTCCAGTCTCATCTCTGGACTGTCTTCCTAACCCCCGCATGAGTCAGATGACCCTCACCTGCTTAACTTTGCTGCATACCTTCAAAGCACTGCTGTTCTGTTTACTCTTTCTCCTTCCCAGACTGTGAATTCTTTGAGAGCAGACACTCTTAGCTTTCTGTCTCAGCACCTATTATGTCTGGCATGTGACAAATGCTTAATAAGTAATTGTTGAATATATGTATATATATGGAAAAATGTTTGCTAGTTTCTGCCTTCACTGACTTTTTAGCTCCTTGACCCATTCACTCCGTTATCCTACCTGAAGATGGGATGCTTGCTCCTCGCTTCCTGCTTAGGGTGATTTGTCGTCTGTGCTCAGGGCTTCTTTGTATGGGGCCACGGTTCCGGGACAGCCCCATCTCTGGACCCTCTGCTTCTCTCCTCTGGATGAAGCAGCTGGCTTGGAATCCTGATCATGATTCTTCTCTCTTACTAGGTCTGAGACTTTGGCTAGTTCGCTGACTCTCCAAGCTTCTAAAATGGCACTGTAATCCCTACCTCATGAGGTTGTTGTAGGATTAAATGACGTGTCAGTAAGGCAGCTGCACGGTTGCTGGGGAGTGACAAGCAGTGGCGGTGGTGGTGGCTATCATCGTTGGCATTGTCATCCCTCCCTCACTCAGTAAGGCGCCCTGAGACTTTCCCTCTTTCTGCTGTGGTGTCCAGGAAGGCCAGGAGAACGTTGAGATCCTCCCCTCTGGAGAGCGACCGCAGGC